TGATCTGTTTCATGTTGCTGCTGATCTGTTTCATGTTGCTGCTGATCAGTTTCATGTTGCTGCTGATCTGTTTCAATGTTGCTGCTGATCTGTTTCATGGTGCTGCTGATTTGTTTCATGTTACTGTTGATCTGTTTCATGTTGCTGCTGATCTGTTTCATGTTGCTGCTGATCTGTTCCATGTTGCTGCTGATCTGTTTCATGTTGGTGCTGATCTGTTTCATGTTGGTGCTGATCTGTTCCATGTTGGTGCTGATCTGTTCCATGTTGCTGCTGATCTGTTCCATGTTGCTGCTGATCAGTTCCATGTTGCTGCTGATCTGTTTCGTGTTGGTGCTGATCTGTTTCATGTTGCTGCTGATCTGTTTCATGTTGTTCACTGGGAGCCTTTAAAGATGTTCTTACTCGAATAATATTGTTTGTCATGAAAACATAAAATTTAAGGATGGATCAATAAATCAAATAAAAAACATTAGAAAAAATAAATAAATAAAACCTGTTGACACCTGTTGTGATGATAACACACACCCCCTCCTGGAATTAGTTAAAAGCAGGAAGTGTCCACAGTTGCCTCCAACATTGTGATAAATGGAGTCCAGCTGACCTCTGACCCCTCCATGGATCACAAGGAATTCAGAATCCCCCCCCCCCCCCCCAAGGCTGACAACAGAGAGCCTGCCAGGGGTGAGCACAGAGCCTTATTTAACCACAGCGGGCGCGGTGGCGCTGTGGGAGGGGGGCTGAAGGCGGAAACCCCCTGTCGTTGATTGGGACCTGGAGCAAAGTGGCACCGTGATGGACAGCCTGCCTCTCGTGTCTCAGGAGCACCTGTTCCCCCCCCCCACGCTAAATGTAAAGCAGCTTCCAGGCAGTTCTGAGCGTGCTCAAACGGGTCGGTGGGGGGGGGGGGCACAGTGGGGGAGTGACATGGTACTCCCAGCTATGTCAGCTGAGTCACTGAAATTATACCAACTTAGAAAAGTGTCTGGTGAATACCCCCCCCCCCCCCCCCCCCCCCCCACTATACAAGACAACCCTTAACTCACCCCCCCACCCCCACCCCCACCTTAGAGACCGGGGTCATTATTGTATTAAAGCACATTTTCACCAGCTGCTCTGCTGAAATCCAACAAAGTGGTTCAGTTCAGAGAAGGACCAGAGACGGACCAGAGACGGACCAGAGACAGACCAGAGACGGACCAGAGACAGAC